ACTTTTGCACCATCGCATTTTACATCTTTCGTGTTGGTGGATGCTGATGAGCGCTGTGTATTTAATCTTCAGCATCCACCAACACGCTCTGTAAGTGCTTCTGGATCTGAAAGCGTACCGCTGATTCTGATCAGCTGGATCTGTCCAGAAGCTGTCACTTACATAGCGTACGTAACTTTCTTAAACTAACTTGTTAAAGATGAAATGATTTATACTACTATATACTAACTTATTACTGTAATTAGTATACAAGTTCCTTGGGCACCTCAAATTTAGAGCACAGACTAAAAACCGTAACAGTGATTATGCTGCCATCTAGTGAATATTCGTTGTATCACTTTTAGACCACTCTGGTTCTATCAAAATGATCAATTTGAACTGGAAAAAATCATAAACACGATATTGTAAAAAAAAATAGTTAGGCCACTATTGTTCTCATGGCCTTAATTATAGTAAATATAGATCAAAAGACAAGTTGCCGACCACATTTCATAGACGAAGGTATTCTAACCCTTACGAGAATATCCATTTTGGAATTATGTATGTTTGTTAGAAAACACACTCATCTTTTTCCCCAACAAGAACGACCAAGTAGATTACGACCGCATCAATGATAAGCCCCTCCAAATTCCAACAGGACCTTTACCAATGTTGACAATATTTTAGTTGGGTCCTCAAATCGTGCGCACTCAGTGAATGAGCGGCCTGCTTCACCACAAACTATATAGTGATGCTAGCGCATTGCTTCACTCACGAATCACGATTAGACGAGGTAACGTCCGTCTTTTTTTCAAGTCCGTGACTACTACTATATTAGGGTACATTTTCCTCCGGATAGCAAAAGTTGAGCCTCTAAAATTCACCCATACATAAACTTGCCACGTGTCAATCGGGTATTTGACAAGATTTAGAAAACGATCTCACGTTATTGACTAACACCCATATTCTTAGTCGTTTCCTCGAGATTTTTTCCACTCGACTCAACCTCATTGGAGGAAATTCGTATGCTTAGACAACAAAAATATCCTTCACTTGAGATATTCCTCACTCGAGTGGAGGTCGAGTCGAGGAATAAACTGTCAAACTCAAGGTAGCTCTCGACGTACCTTAAGGCTTCCTCGAGTGGTGTTTTCAAGTTGCTTTTATCGAGAATTATGTCTGATTTTGAGATTATTGACGAATTTGTGGATTTTATGGATTAAGTATACGATTTATTTATTCAGTAACACATACACGATGATTAACCATATAATTATCCGGCGCGACGGTATTTACGTGATGCCGCAAATCCTTTTAAGGTCTACGACAATGATACGTTTCAAAGAAGATTTCGGTTTAGAAAAGATACAGTCATACAAGTAATATTTCCTCTGTTAACCATTATAGAAATAAAATCCTCCAAATGATGACGTCACAATGTTGAGGAATTCTCAGTGGAGGAATTCTCAAGTTTGTTCAAGATACCAACTAGAATACCATTTTCGAGGTTATTTGGAGGAATTCCTTAAGGAGCCCTCGAATGAGTTTGAGTCGAGGAACGTTTGAGGACGCGATTAAGAATATGGGTGTAAGGCGTTGAGCAGACGACGGGGCGGGGCGGGCATTTTGTCCGCGAAACAATAAAGACCGCGTTTGCCCGTCGATGTCTGCGGCTGCCCGCGCCGCGTACACAAAGCACACGACGGGCAGAGGCGGTCAGTTCAGGACGTTCGTTCTAGTGAATAGTTCATCACTAATAAGCACGTGGCGCGGACTGAGCTGACCGCCCCGCGCCGCCGTCTGCGTTACTGCATATAAACTGGTTTGTATGATCCACGGCGGGCAGCCGCGGACATGCCGCGCCGCCACTGCCCGCCGGGCACCTGCGGCGCGGTCTTTTTGCCCTCTGTGTGCGTTTGAAGTATAGGATTCACTTTGTGCTATTATTCGCGGTGAAATTGACCGGCCCGCCCCGCCCCGTCGTCTGCAAAGTGCCTAATAGTAGGAGTTCTACTGAACCCTCCGAGTAACGGTCTGTCTGTAAGGCTAGAAATTCTTATGGTGATGGGTCATAGCATGCTTAGTACGGTAAGCATCGTCTGGCACTCCTCAGCCCTGCACGTCATCAAGCCGTATATTTTTGAGTGTCAAAAAAATATTAAAAAAAAACTTGTTGCTGTAAGCTTGAAATTATTATACAATTTAGTTTATTTATTTTTAAGTTTAAACAAAATTGCCAGGCGTTTACGATGAGCACAAGTACCCGCCAGGCGAACCGGAAGGTGTTTAATATATATGTTATGGGCTAAGTGATTAATCGGGCATTATTTTTAATGCCCGGGCAATATGAATAATACCAAATAAGAGCAGGCAATGTGATTATAACCAATCTATATATCACATTGAACGGGCATTATGAATAATGCCCAGTGTCTATTGGGCAGATTGATGTGAAGCATGTTTAATACTTTCAAATGAATACTTAGTTAGATAGACCGAGCATTACAAGTAATGAAATCAATCGGGTAGAGTAATAATAAAAACATGTTGTATAGTTTAGTATTTATTTTTAAAATTTAAATAATCAGTCTTCGGTTTTACTTCGATCAATTTACGAAGGGCTACATTTAGAAACTATAGTCTATAGTAGTTTCAATGCAGTTTATTTGAAAAATTCATTAAATCTGTTAATATTCAGAATTTATGGTTCCCTATATTTTAGAATGCAAGGACTAGGTAACTAAGAACCAGTACTTCTGCCTTATCTCCGGCGCTGCGGGAAGAGCAGCCCCTCCACCTTTGCGTGAAAAAATCACAAGCATCACTCCCCTTCACACCTTCGGCTTGTTGGCGGTGTCGGTGGCGGTGCGGGTCACCTGATGCTTGCGGCTTTGTCACAGCAGGCGGGGGCTGCTCTCCCTCCGCGCCTCCGGGCTCTAAAAACCCTCTAGGGGTAGGGCAGACCAAGACCACGGCGAGTCGGGGTTGACCAAGTCGGTTCTGAATTAAAGACGGTTGTAAACCCACATTTACCTTTTTTTCTAAGTGTTGAGCCCATACTATTTTATATTCATCAAGATCTCAAAACAAACACAAAATGGCGAGACATCTAACATTTTCACAATAGTACCAACGTTTTGAATTTATTCATACTGCCCGGTCCAAGCGATAATTTCAAGCTATCTCCAACACTGACTTATTACATGGACCACGAGCCGTCCGGCATTATTAATAATGGCCGGGCAATGTGATAAATAGGTGAGTTTAGATTGTAATTAATCACTTGGCCCGACATGGCTGGGCATTATTCATACTGCCCTGGCATTATTAATACTGCCCGCATTTAATCACTTGGCCCATAACATATACATAAAAATAAACTTTATTCTGTAAAGTTGCAAGCTTACAGCAACAAGTTTTTTTTCAATATTGTTTTGACACTTCCAAAATTATACGGCTTGATGACGTGCAGGGCTGAGGAGTGCCAGACGATGCTTACCGTACTAAGCATGCTATGACTCATCACCATAAGAATTTCTAGCCTTAGAGACAGACCGTTACTCGGAGGGTACAGTAGCTCTTGGTCTATATGTTTATGGAGTCCGTAAAAAGTGGATATTCATCATTCTGTTGTGTATTCCAGTAAAATTAACCAAATCAAGAATCCATCTCCATTTTCAAGTTGCCGCGAAAATGTTTCTCTGGACAATATGGCGTCTTACTAGTGTGTGACGTCACACGACTGTTATTATATACGTCAAACGATACATTTTAGGCTCCGCCAATCCCAAGCGTTTTGGGTCACGTGACAATAGACAAGAAAACTATTATCTTTTTCGTGGGTTTTTAGTAAAATTATGAATATTTTTTTTTGTATAAATAGTTAAAACACCTGCCAATATTTATTCTAAACATAGATGCTAACAATTGGCACTTTATTTTTAAAACTGTCAAGTACCCTTAAAAATTTGGAGGCTGCCGGAGACTCGGTACCCTCCATCCAAATTTTAACCTCCTACTTTGTTGATTAAGTAATCATTAAATTGTATGTAGGCAAAGGAGTTAGCGCGCTCGGCTCCATCGTTGAAGTTAAGCAACTTTCGCAGTGGACAGAAAAACGACTATTCGGCAAAACATGCTGATTTATAATCGGTACGTAACAAAATAATGAAATAAAACTAACAATTTTTGCTTGTTTTTTTTTTTATTTCTAAACAGTAAGGTCATAAAATATAAAAAAAAATAAGATAAGGACTTAGGATTAAAGTGTTATTTTTAATTCAAAAATTATTATTAAATATTTAATATCGTTGACTAACTAAAAACACTTGGCAAAATTCATGTATTTTTCACATTAACAGAGGTTACAAAAATTATAAAAAATAATAAAAATATGAAATAGAATGAGATCAAGTACTTAACCTATTACGACACTGGTGTCGATTCTGGCATGATTCTCTAAATCTAAACTTAAATATGGCAGCAGTGTATCCTTGTCATTCTCCAAGCAAAATGAAAAGGAGAGACTGATCTTTAATTTAGTTTTAAGTATAGATAATCATGTCAGAATCGACACCATTGTTTTTATATACATTAGTTAATAGGGGGCAAACGATCAGACGGCTCATATGTACCCTTAGCACGAACCAAAAGCGAAATAAAATAGTATGCGAGTGCGAAATGTCATTGTCAAATGTGTACTGATTTTTAGTTCTCGTTACGTCCGATATGGTGCTGCTGTTCAAGTTTCCATACAAAATATGACAATGATATTACGGATTCGATAATGGTTCGCACTGATGGTAAGTGATCACCATCGTTGTTTTGTAAATTCAATGTACTAACTGCTAACTAATAATATAATTTTTAATTACAAAATGAAGAAAAATTATCAAAATATTTATTTATGAACCTACGACTATAATAATTGTCACTAATATCATCAAAGTCATTATAAAAGAATCACACACGTCATCATTGTTACAAGAAGCGAAGATTTTGCTAACAAAAAAGTTTGTTACCTATGAATATTTTGAAGTAAAAACATCTTTAATATCGTTGCGACTTGAGATTCGATGAAATGGTAGTAGAGTTGGTATAATGGAAGTAGAGTATTTGACATGAGATAGGTAGGTAGGTGTAATTTTGTAGCACGTCGCACGCAATAGACTGATAGCTGAACGAAGTCGGTCTTAGGGTTGATACCAAAAGATCGGTAATTCGATGCTGAGCTCGGTTGATGTTTTTTACTAGCGCGTTTAGCAATTTTTGGAACATTATTAAAGATTAAAGTTTGCCCGGTATATTACAATACCTGAGTAGTGAAGTATTTAACGTTCGGTTGGTAGTTAATATTTTTTTTTTATTTATTTAAACTTTATTGCCAAACATAAGCAAACGGCGGACTTAATGCCATAAGCATTCTCTACCAGTCAACCAGTATGATTGTTGGAGACAAAGAGTATAATTATTAGCACAGCTCTGGTTCTTTCTTCTTATTAAATTAAAACTTCTATAGTAACGTTGTGACTTGAGATTCGATGAAACCTTTGAATATCTATAAGGATGAAACGGAAGTAGAGTATATTCCACAAGTGTGTCTACACAACAGGATATACGCTTAGTTAAATAATGTCTCCATGCATTTTTTTTTATTAAAATTGCCTCTCAACTATTGCGTCTGGTATAATCATATTTACGTCTCCATTTAGTTTTTGTCTACTTCGGATTGTACTGGACTTGGGTTGAAACAGAAATATATTTATCTGTCGTGTTGTGTTGTAACGCGATCGGTTTCATACATTCAGTAGCACTAAGAACTGTACTTGTGTTGTTACTGTAATAAATGTATGAAATATATAGCTCTCTGAAGAGCCATAGAACAACGCGACCGATAAATGTAGTTCTGCAATAAGCGAGGCCGCGGGGCCCCCTAAGGCCGCCTTTGCACTTAAGTCACGTTTCAGTTTGGTCCCTCTGAAATCATACACCATGAGATTGAAATATTAAACAATACTTCGGTAATTGGTAATCGTACGATAAAGACTAAATTATTGGTCCATATCCCAAGTGGGCGTTGGCTCACTTTCTTTCCCGTATTCTTCGATGTTGGTAGAAATGGCTTATAAATGGTTAATATTTGTTTATCACATATTATCTAGCTACATTTATAAGTTTTCTCTCCTGTGTGAATTCTTTTATGTTTGGATAAATAACTACTTATAGTAAATCTTTTATCGCAGACATTACATTTATAAGGTTTCTCTCCCGTGTGTATTCTTTGATGTGTGGATAAATCACTACCATTAGTAAATCCTTTATCGCAGACGTTACATTTATAAGGTTTCTCTCCCGTGTGAATTCTTTCATGTCTGGATAAATTATCACTTGTAGTAAATCTTTTATCGCAGACGTTACATTCATAAGGTTTCTCTCCCGTGTGAATTCTTTGATGTCTGGATAAATTATCACTTATAGCAAATCTTTTATCGCAGACGTTACATTTATAAGGTTTCTCTCCCGTATGAATCCTTTGATGTTTGTATAAACTACTAGTTTCAGTAAATCTTTTATCGCAGATGTTACATTTATAAGGTTTCTCTTCCGTATGAATCCTTTCATGCCTGGATAAATCATTACTTCTAGTATATCTTTTATCACAGATACTACAGTTATACTGTCTTGCTTTCTGGTCAGTCTTCCTATCGCGTTTATTTATCGAATGCCCATCGTTGCTTGTCATTGCAGAACCTATACTGTCCTCTTTGTATTTATCATTTAAGTATATTTCACGAGTGTTAGTATAATTTTGGTTAGTTATGGGGTTAATTTCAGAATGTGATTTAGTTACATGACTTTCTAATTCGTTTTTACAATAAAACATATTTTTACAAATATCAGATACAAAATTTTCTCTATGATTTGTGACTTCGTCGTGTTTGTTTTTCACCATGTTGTCGTTTTCGTAGCTATATTTTGTGAAAATATTTGGAACACTAATTTGAGCTCGGTTTTCTATTCCCGTGTTTTCTTCGGTTGATCTTGATGCTATTGGAGGCATGAGTTGGTTGTTCTCGCTAATTTCACTGGTCAGCTTACATTTCTTGGGTCGTTTTGCTTCTGAAAATATTACTTTTTATTATAATCTTCATCTGGCTTATGATTTGACGGGAACATCAAAAATTTGTAAGTATTTCTGTTGGAACTAACACCAAATAGTATAAAATCATTAATGAATTCTGAAATCTAAACTCCTCCTGTTTGGAAGTCGTATAATGAGAAAGAAAATGCATAGCTCATTACAGATGGCGTTGTATACGTCTGAGTCCAAGGAAGTAATATACCTAACAGTAACAGTAATGCTTACTAGCTATTCAATCAAGAAATATTTCAAACCTTATCCAACGAATTAGAAATGATATGGAAGCATAACTCTCCAACTACAGCGGCTAAAATATGGTTTGAAAATTATACAGCTAAACTTCAATACTATGGGTGCGGCCAGAGTGCACTCAGATTCAGATTCAGATTCCGAAAACAAGCGCGAGAAATAAACAATGTAGTCTAAGCAGGTTGCCTGCTTTTTCTCGCGCTTTGTTTTCTGAGTCTGAATCTGAATCTGAATCAGGAGTGCACTCTGGCCGTACCCTTCGACTACACTGTTTATTTCTCGCGCTTGTTTTCAGAATCTGAATCTGAGTGCACTCTGGCCGCACCTTAACGCGACACGCACACAGAAAAAAAAATACTTTGACAAATCATACATCTGCAAATGAATTCGGCTATCCATTCATTGGGTACAACGATATTAAATACCCTAGATACACCAACACGAACGAAATCGTGTCCGAAACCTGTCCAAAAGGTACATTGGACGATTCACGGCGCTCCGTAAGATGATCGCGTTGTAAAAAAATAATATCCACCTTTAATGCATATTGTATAAGGTCTTAATTATAATGCATGCGATAGATTTTAATGAAAAGAAAAACGAGTAGCGACGAAATCTATATATATAAAACTCAAAAGTGACCGACTGGCTGACATAGTGATCTATCAACGCACAGCCCAAACCACTGGACGGATCGGGCTGAAATTTGGCATCCAGGTAGATGTGATGACGTAGGCATCAGCTAAGAAAGGATTTTGATCAATTCTACCCCCAAGGGGATTAAATAGGGAATGAAAGTTTGCATGAAACTTTGTCAATTTTAAACCGATCGGGCTGAGACTTTACATGCAGGTATAAGAAGAATCATAGATGAATGTCATTGTGTATAATACAAGCCTGAGAACAAAAACTGTAGTCTACACTTCAGCTCTACACCGAAGCGAAGCGAATGGAGTTTGATAAGGGGCCCGGTATGAGAAAAATGTGAGGAGTTAAATCTATCGATGAATGACCTCGTTACGTTTTTGGTGCGCATCCTGTTCGAGCCAAAATGACTCTTAAATCCGAGAGCTTAGGTGCAAAAGAATTAAATTGAAACTACAGTGTTTTTTTTAGACCATAGATTCCTTTATTAGTTAGATGACGTTTTGCCTATATGTAGCTCCAAACATATTTACAAGCGTGATGCAACGAACTACAGCGCCATCTATTTTGATACATATGAACTAAAATTTTAAATGCACAAATGGCGTATACATAATCGCCCACCAAGGACAAACTGAGATTTGTCCTTACAAATATTTAACTTAACAACATGACTCTGTTATCGCCCACCATGACTCTGTTATCGCCCACCATGACTTAAGGTAACAAAACAAATAAAAACACTAAGATGTACAATAACTTAAAATAATATATTTATGCACATCTGAAATTGACTATTGCAAAAAGTTTAATGTAAAATATTTCGTCGATTAGTAAAAATAAATGTATATGAAATGAATATATTTATATATGTATATTATTTTCATTAATTTGTTAATTTACCCTTTCATACAGTATCAATCTTTTTTAAGTTAAATAAACTCTTTTTGCGTCTGATTAGACTATCGAACTTAAGGAGTAAACTCCAGTCGTGCGTCGGAGCTGACACACACATTTTTTTTCTCTAAAAAGTTGATTTTATCATTTAGCTTCACCACAGTTTGGCCTGCGCAAGCATCTCGCACGAAAAAACTGTACACTTTGTGCGTTACCACACGGCACAGTTAAGTACGCGCAAGCCTCATTCGTATCGAAATCATTGGCGTGGAAACAATGTTTCCTAATGAAGAAACATTTCTTATGCTACTATTTTTCAAGTGTTTGCTATTAAAAAAAACATGTAAAAACAATAGGATATGTACATAATATGTGCAAGTAGGTAGGTAGTAGGTATTAGTGTGGTAGGCCTATTAGCTTGAGGACGGCAGAGTACCCTTCCAATCAACTACTCGGCAGATGGTAATTGCTCTTTTTTTAAAATGACCACATCGTTTTCTTTTAGATTTGCTAATTTGTGACACCACTTATTACGCGTTTGTAAAGTAACTAGGTATGTAATCACGACTCCAACAAGTCCAAAACTCCTGTAACTTTTTTTGTACAAATTGCCATCTATCTAATAGGTTCAGTGGTACATCTTTTTTTGAAGTTATACTTCTTTAGGCGCGTTATGAAAAAATGATGAGAGTGAAATTTTTAGATGCGCGCGCATCACTGTAACCCAAAAGTAATAGCATGAAGTTGGCCGCGGGCGCGTTATGAAAAAATCATGTGAGTGAAATTTCGAGATGCGCGCGCATCACTGTAACACAATAGTAACACCATGAAGTTGGCCGCGGGCGCGTTATGAATATTCGAAAGGTACTTTGAACGATCCACGGAGCTCCATAAGATGATCGCGTTGTCAAAAACAATGTTGGCACGCTCGTCGCCTCTGATCACTGTTTTCATATTTATAATATTTATCCACATGTTTCTAGTTTCTATATAGACACAACATGTTTTAGTTACTTACAAGTGCTAATTACATATGGACTAATAACTTAAATTCAGTAGTGATTTTAATTGAATATCTTGAATATTTATTTAATTTTTCAAATTAAAACTGAACTTAATTGACTGTGTTAACTATCCTTTTCCAGTCCTTTTATTATTTTATTGTAATTATTAATTATTTGCATGCAATTAAAAAATATTTTTAATGATGCTAAAGAAGTATAACTTCTCACGCGCGTACATAAGTTACACGCATCCATTTTTTTTTTATGTTAAGGTAGGCAAATGACTCTACCCCACCTGATGTTAAGTGGTAATAAAGTCCAAACGCGAAGATAGCTGGTACAGCAGTTATAAACTGCTACACCAATCATCCTCACCTTGCCGGCCTGCAAAAAAGCTAACATACATACATCTAACAATTTATCATCAGATAATACAACCGTAGGTTCGCCAATCAGAAAATGACCTGGAGTTAATGGTACTAAGTAATTTGCAGAATCGCTAATTGGTGTTAACGCCATCCAAACAATAAAGAAAACGGCTATAAAGAATTCGCGCAATGTGTGCGTGATATTATGTCAGATTATACTAAGGCAGTCAGTCAGTGTGCAGCCACGAGTATATCTACTATATGTAGTAGATATTTTTTTTGCCGATTCCGTGCAGTTAATGCGGTACCTAGGGTTCATGTAATCAATTGCTTGAGCTATCCTTTTTCCCTGACTTTTCATGTGTCCACATAGGACACCCTACATATAATGAATAGAACTAATTTACAAATAATGAACATAATGAGAAGGACAAGTATAATTTTCTAGAAATATATTAGGTTGGGGATTTTTTTTTTCGCATTTTATATGAATATTCAATTTTTTTTTTATAAAGTTTATTTACATTTAGCTAAAATATGCAGGTGCCTGCCATTTTATTCGCTAACTTTTTACCATCTTGTAGGTAAGGCTAAGGACATGATCTCATGGCTACAGACATGTTGGGGCTTCTGATAAAAAAAACGTCGACAAGTGTTTCGGCAGGACTCGCGTTATGTTATCCTAACACTGCCTAAAGAATTCAGAAGTGACAGAAACAGGTGGAAATCTGAAGGTGCAAGGTAAGGATTAAACGTCGAATCTAGTAACATCTCCCCGTCAAACTCTCCAACACTGAAAACGGTATGTTTTCGAAGTCTTGGGAATGTAACTACAGCCCTTGACTGTAAACAAAACTATTAAGTTTGACAATCAGACTTATTTTTTTTTATTTCTGTAACCGGCCATTATGTCTACTACACCTTTCGGCGTTTGGGGTTTTGATATTGGACTTTCTGACAATCCAACTTTTTATACAATTTGTTGTTTTGGTAACTTGACATTATGGCAAATAGACATTTTAGCAATTTGTTGTTTTGACACCTGGATATTATGACAGCTGGGCATCTTAACAATTGTGTATCATTTTCCTTGTCATTTTGACAAACTGGACATTCTGACACTTGGCCCAACATACCCCAGAAGGTACAAATGTTATAGCCAAAGAGATTTTATTACAAGTTCATAAATACTCTATAGGTATAATGCACAAAAGACTGTTTCCCCAACCTATTATATAAACAGATACAGACATTTGCCCCACATGGATTCGAACCAAGGACTTGAGTAGGTGAAACCTCAAAAAACCGGTGTACATACCACTCACACCATGGAAGTTGATAAATGAATACCTGTATCAATATGATCTTGCATCTCCTCAACATCTGATTCAGACTTCATTATCTCAATATTGATAGTAGGCTCCAGTTTAACCTCTTCTGGGTCTAAAGGCATAATACTCTCCATCGGGGACACAGAACACTTCCAAGAGATATTAGGTTCTTGCTTCACAGTCATATTTAGTGTGTCCATGGTGATCTATAAAAAAACCTCTCACATTAATTTTAAAGAAGAATTTTGCAATGATTAATATATTACTGAAAAGTTTGTGTATGTGGGGTGGGGCAAATGTTTGTTAATGATAATGAGAATTTGTACCTCAGTCATGGACGTTTATGTCCATGGTGATCTATAAAAAGATTAATTAGACTTAGCCATATTACAAAACAGTGACTAAAATAAAACCCCAGTTAGTCTAAAAATTATATTGACACATTGTTTTTGCTAAAGTGAGAGAGAGAAAAGACATAAGGTTTCAACCCTTAACCTAACACCTATTATTATTCTTTAACCACCTATGTGTGGTCACAGAGACCGCTGCCAAATATTTTTACTTGTCCAGAGCAAACATGCACAATTTTTTATTCGTCAAGCATAAGTGGAAATTATGTGATGCCTAGAAAAGGTACATGGACGCTGGCAACATCACAACAAGCAAACATAGAAAAATGATAGTTCTAAAACGAAGATGTTTCCATTTTTTTTTATATATAATGGTTAAACCAAAAATGACCTGAATCCATGTTTTGTACAAAACTGTACATTACATGTGTTTCGCATGTATAAATACTGTGAATACAGATTCACAGTATTTATACACGCGAAAGTAGTAGAAGCTTTAACATTATTAAAAAAATCTGTTTTTCTCAATTTAGCCACCAACAGTACTTTCTACTGAAATGTTTGTGTATGTGGGGTGCGGCTAGTGTTGCCAGGTCCGATTTTGTTTTAAATCGGTACATGAGGTCAAAACAATCAGGATTTTGGGTTGCAGATCAGGACAATAAACAAAAAACACGGGGTTTTTATGTCTGGGTTTAATTTATTTATTTATATTTGTTTTAAACTATTAGTGCAAGTATAGTATTATAATTTAATTACCTAAATTATTTCATTTGATTATCGTGACATTTAGAGAGGATCAGCTACAAATCGGGACGCGTCCCCAGACCCCTGAAAATCGGGACACCTGGCAACACTGGGTGGGGCAAATGTTTGTGGATGATAATGAGAATATTTACCTCAGTCATGGATGTTTATTATATGTAATCTATCGATACTAGGGTGTCCTATATATATAGGACACCCTAGTATCCTATTGGTGTATTTGTTAAAATAGAATAGAATAGAATTAATTTATTCATAAACATAGGTACAATAGTGATGTTGCAATAACAGTATTAGTCCTGTCTATGTTTCACCATTCTGGTATATGAATTTATGAAGTTATTTATATATTATTACATTATTCACAATTCTTGTTATAATTAATATTGATTTATTATGTTTTTTAAAAAGTTCTTACCTCGGAATCTTTATTTTGGAATTCCGTAGTTATATTTGGATTACCAAGTTGAGCTTCTATTTCCGTTGCCGTGTTTCCTTCGGTTTTTATTGACGCTATTGGGGGTTTGAGTTGGTTTTCCATGTTCATTTTATTGGTCAGCTTACGTTTCCCTCCTGTAAGTAAATATTACTTTCCTTATAATAAATCATTATCAGGCTTATATTTAAATGGGCATTAAAAACTAAAAATGTGTAAAGTATTTCTGTTGAAACCTACAACATATAATAAAAATACTATACATGAACTGTGATAATATTACACTCCTTTCAGCAGCAGCAGTCGTGTGACGAGGAAGATAACGTAAATCCCATTACAGATGGCGTTGTGTTCGTCTGACCCAAGGAAGTTATATACCTAACGGTAACAGGAATGCGTACTTGCTGTTCAATAAAGAAATAATTAAAGCTTATCAAAATTATTTCAGGTCTGCTTTCTATTAAATTGAATTTTAAAATTGGACGATTATTAGGGCACGCCCCTTTTTTGTTTAATCCAATGATATTAAATACCTTAGATACACCAACACGAACAAAATCATGCCCGAAACCTGTCCAAAAGGTACATTGACCGATCCACGGATATCCTTAAGATGATCGCGAAGTCAAAATCAATATAAGGCACTATTTAAATATTGAAAGTAACCTTTAATACATACTATATAAGGTCTTAAATAAAACGTATGCGTCAAGGACTTCTGACAGTTCGAAATGCAAGCTTGTAAAATTTTACGACATTGCTATATGCGGAAGAATTTAGACCTAAATTCTTTGACTCTTCGCGCAATTATGAACGCGCTGTTAGCAATATAGCAGACACGGACCGCGAGGAAAAGAGACGGCTATATGGCGACGTATAACCGACCATGCATTTGAATATCACAAATATTTTATATTAAATCAGTTTATAGTAAGTATTAGATCAAAGTTTACTTCAAATTCGTTAAATTAACAAACGTTGTCGAGATACCTGTCGATAAAACGACACTTTTCGTACTCTAATTATTATTTTCACTTTTTCTCGCGAAGCTCTGTGGCATCTTGACTTTGTAACAGTCCGCGCGTGACTGTGAACCAAGAAGTGCTTAAGTGGAGTTCAAGCACTTCTTGATTGGGACACATTTTGAGCGCTCGTGGTGTATCTAGGGTATTTAATATCGTTGGTTTAATCACTTAAGAATAACATTTAACTTGTCGCTTAAATTATTGATAAAGATACGTAAACATGTCAACAACAAGTTAAAATGCTTCAACACGCCAATAATTACCATATATATTTTTTTAAGACGAAATACGGGATTATTTATGGGTGGCTCTTACTTTGTTTTGAGTAGTTTAAATAAATATAAGAATAAAGAGAAATGCCGGTAAGTGTCCAGCACTCTGGAATTGTGATTTCAGTAGTTGGAATTCTTTAACGTAAGTATTTACAAAATTATGAAAAGTTCGTTTCCAGTAAAAAATAATATAAGGATAGTGTTTAAAGCTATGTGAGGAGGTCCTTTGAGGAGTTACTTTGCGTGATAATGATTTTCCTTTTGCATTGGTACCCCAAAATATTTTGATAGTCAAGAATTCAGAATTAAGGATCATTCTAGTCTACAACGAATTAGAAATTCGTTTCACGCAAACTGCGATCAAGTGGGGCGGGGGCGAATAAAATGCGATTAACACGCCGATCATGGGATTTGTTAGGATTTTCGTTTAACATGATCTTAACCAATGAATGGGTAGCTGAATTCATTTGCTGATATTTGATTATTATATTATTTTGGCAATCTGTGCGTGATGTAATGTCACATCATTCTAAAGCATATTTGTTTCATAGGTTTTCACGCACATCACTCATTAAAGAAAACTAGTTTTTAACGAACTTTTTTATTTATTGACGTTTCGCAGCCATTTCAGATCTGCATCGTCAGAATTATGAATTTTTATTTACTATGTCGAGCTACTTTCGAAAGACTTTTATTGAGCGTCGGATATTTCATTGGAAGATTTTTAAAACTTTATTGTCTATCTATGAATTTATTAGTTAATAAAGTACTTTATTTAAAATTCTCTTTTGTAATTTTGAGTTTATTTATTTGACCCTAACTACAGTAAACTACCACCGGTTCCAAAATTGGGAGACCTTTCTGAGAAGAACCGACGAAACAAACTCAGAGAGGCTTTCTATCTCCTTCTTATGTTAAATCATGCAAACAAAAAGAACTAATAGTATCTGTTGGTCTTGCAGTGTGTGCTGCGGGGTTGGGATTTTATCTCTTATATAATGGGTTTCCAAGCTGGTGGTATATACCAACCATCTTCCCTATTGAAATTTGGAAAATTTTTTTATCTAAATAGCCTCGCGTATCATTCTAAGAATGAATCGTTGCTCAGTTGCAAGGATATGTGGTTTATCAAATCTAATGTAATGGTTTGGTCCCCCTAATGCATATACACACTGCAGACTTATTTCCGCGCCTATGTTTCATATCTGCGATATGTTTATACTAAAGCAGTCAATCAGTAAGTGTGTAGCCACGAGTATATCTACTATATGTAGTAGATATTTTTTGCCGCTTCCGTGCAGTTAATGCGGTATCGTAGAGTGCATGTAATCAAAGGCTTGAGCTTCCCTCATTTTCCCTGACTTTCTAGTATGTGGACATCCTCCATATAACAAATAGAACAAGTACAGTTTGTCTATAAAGTCGTGATATTAAATGATGGCGCCACTAGTATGCATGTAGCAACCCTATACAGTCGGACCAAAATGATTTTGATACTAGCAGTTCATTCAAGTAAAATAGGTAATTAATAAGACACACTATACAGTCGTATTTTGTTTCTGTTTTATATATAGTAGGTACTTATGCTTATAAAAAGTTTAGCCAAGCATATTTAATTGAATCAGAATAAAATTATTATAGATAAAATAGTACTATATAGTGTAAAAGTGTGTAATGTTGGTGATGACCGCTGAGGTGCCATTGAGACCAGAGCCGTTAGGTAATCATCAATACACACAAGTATCATCATACGACGTTTTTTAACATACTTGTTAAGAAAATAATACTAAAAATCATTTTATAGTATATAAAAAGTTTATTTAGAGAAACAATTTGAAAATGTGCAGTTAGTAAAATTAGTGATAGGTATCTTCACTAAAAGCATCTGGCCATGGTTCTTTATGTGACCATTTCTTTCTTTGGTCGACCTTGCCTGTTTTCCCAAGAGTTTCAAACTTTCCATCATTCTTAAAACCTTCGTTGACTATCCAACTCTCTGATGTTCCTGAAAAAAATGTAAAAAAATATGTAACGGAATAGTAACAATAACTTATTGACATGAAACAATTAATTCAAAATTGGTAGAAAACCTGACCGAGTTGAACCATAATAACGTATCAAAAGAAATGGTCGTACTACAATATTACCTATTTACAATGTCAATGTAACCTAAAAATGTGCAATGTAAACAATGCCTTTTTTGGTCTCAAAATCGTAAATTGAGTAAATTTGTAACTTCAAGCAGATTACAAACAAATAGTTACACAATTACATACCCGTCATAGATGCTGTTCGCCCATAAACATCGTCCAAATCCCACAAAATTCGTCCAGCTTGGTAATCTTCGAAACATCGCTGGAAAACTTTAAAAATCACTCATCCCGCATGCCACTCCTATTTACTTTACTCATTTTTATACCTTTCTGCGTAGTTTCGTCTTAATTTATTACAGTTATGACTTTATTTATTATTTAAGCATTTAACTGCTAGATGTTTAAATCTAAAGAAAAGTTTACTAGAAAAAAATCCACGCGGACCAGGTCACGTCCGCTGCCTGGTCCGCGTGGATTTTTTTTTCTAGTAAACTTTTCTTTGAAATTAATTTATTACAGTTTAATCCAAACAATAAAAAATACTAAAGGAAAATTGTTCCACAACTGAAACTCGATGACAGCTGATGTACATAAGTTTGGTGTTGCTAGAAACATGAATAATGTTAGTTCCTCAAACATTCATGTCACGACTTTATAGACAAACTGTATTTATTGGGCTGAGGAAAGTTTTTTTCGCATTTTGTATGAATATTAAATTTTTATTTTTTAAGTTTATTTACAATACAATACAAAACACTTTATTGCACACCACAGAAAACATTGCAATAAATACAGAGCCATTTAAAACAAGTGGTACCATGGGCGGCCTTATCGCTAAAAGCGATCTCTTCCAGACAACCTTTGGATGGAGCGGATTAGAAGGAAGTGGGAGAGACGGCGGCGTAAATTTCCATGTTATTTATTAATATATACATACATATACATACACAAATCTAGTCCAGTCGGTAGAAATTACAAAAGAGATTATAAAACAACAATTTCACAAAGACAAATAGTGGGACTTCACGACATTCTTAAAAATGAGAATCGATTCCGCGCGTCGTATCGAAACTGGGAGAGAATTCCACAGCGGAATTGAACGGCTCGAACTGCAAATGAGTGACTGTAAAAAGTTGTACTGTGTCCAGGAGTCAAAAGGGTAAGATTTTCTGATGACCTAAGAGATAACGTGTTAGAAGTGTGAAGGAAATTAAAACATTCCTCAAGATAGCGCGGGGACTTAGGATTGAACAATATGTTGTAGAGAAGATTAAGAATATGACTATTCCAGCGAAGGCGAATAGGTAGCCACTTGAGCTGCGAACGAAATTGAGAAACGTGATCATATTTGCGCAAACCAAATATGAAGGGAATACAAAAGTTTTGAAGTCGCTCAAGCTTATTAAGCTGGTCCTCATTTAGATCAAGATAACAGACGTCGGCGTAATCAAGAATAGGAAGCAATAATGACTGTGCTAAGGCAATTTTGGTGGTGACGGGCAGGAAATTACGCAGTTTCCTAAGTGACGCTGCCGATGCAAACTTTTTGCCACTGACCACTTGCATTTTTGGGCCCCAACTCAAATAAGTGTCAAACGTCAACCCCAAGTTTTTAACCGATGTGCTAAATGAAATATTATTATCAGCCTGTCTATCATCCTGGAACTATCTATTATTATGCTGGTTGTCTTAGAGGGATTCAAGTCCAAACCAAAAGATTTACTCCACTCTGTAATTACATGGAGATCACTATTAGTGACTCGAACCGCGTCCTCAAGTTGACCAAGAGGTGCTTGGCAATAAATTTGAAGGTCATCTGCATATAGGTGGTAAGAAGAAGAAATATTGTTTGAAACAGAGTTGATTAATACAGCGAAAAGAAGAGGAGATAAGACGCCGCCTTGCGGAACACCGGCAGTCGTATCGCTCCATGAAGAAAATTTCTCTTCGAGAAGAACGCGCTGCCTGCGCCCATACAGATAACTGTGAAGCCACTGAATCACTAATGGAGATACGTTAAGGGAGCGCAGCGATGCCAGAAGAACATCAAAGTTGACTGTGTTAAAAACATTGCTGAAGAACAATGTTAATACCGTAAGGAGACCGTTGTCCATCCCAAGGCGAATATCATCAGTTACTTTAAGCAATGTAGTCGTAGTACTATGTCCAGGACGGAAACCGGATTGGAAAGGATTAAAGAGATCGTGGTGAGAAAGGAATATATTAAATTGGTTATGGACAAGGCGTTCAAGGACCTTAGATAGGAAAGGAAGAATAGAGATGGGCAAAAATCGGCAACGGATTGAGGGTTTGATTTTTTAGGGAGTGGAATGGTTTGGGCTTGCTTCCAAACTGACGGAAATATAGCATTGCAAATCGAGCAGTTAAAAAGGAAAGTAAGGACAGGAAGGATGATATCAAAGATAGGTATCAACATGTTGCGACTTATGCCATCATTCCCCACCGCATTGGAAGAGATAGAAAGCATGCCCTTCTTAACGTCACATTCAGTGAATTGAGTGAAGACAAAAGGAGAGTAGTCAGGAATTGGAAACGAAGAAAGATAATTTAAAGTACTGGTCTTGTTCGAATCGCTGAGACTAGAAGAGCAAGAAAAGTAAAGGTTGAGTAAATCATCGTTGATACTACTAGGAATAGATTCTTGTCGGGATTTACCAATTCCAAGAGACTTAAGGAAATTCCAGACTTTTGCTGGATCTTTGTTGTCGACAGAGACATGGATATGGCGACGTAAGGCGTCCCTACACACCAGATTGCAGTGATTGCGAGCTCCAACATAGTTGGCTTTATTTACATCAGCTGGACGACGTTTATAATTGCATTTAGCAACGTCCTTTTTGTGCATTAGGGCTGTAATTTCTTCGGTAAGCCATGGCGCTGCAACGTGTTCAGTTTGATGGGACAAAAAGGAGCATGTTTGTCATAAAGTTTAGTTATTATACTATAAGTATAAGTGTCGCTCGCCTTCTTCCATATCCTCAGGATGAAGGTCCGAAGACTGCAGTTGCTCGCTAATAGGCGCCGCTACCACTAACTTTTCAGGCCAAGTGTAGAAGCCGTATGTGGAGTTACGAAGCCAGGGTCGGTCCCATTCCTCATCATTTGCTGGCTCTTGGTTTGAATATATTGCCCATAACAAGTTTTTACCCTATATCCTGGTAAAGGATTCTCAGCTTTAGGTGCACCGAATACTTCGGAAGAGTCTATGGTAATCTTTCTGAGCGGTTTTAATCTTAGTAGAACGGCGGGCTGTTTCCGCAACTCGACACCCAGTGCCTATTTTGCGTGGGGAGTTATTATACTATTAAAAGTCTCAACTTGGTCGTCCACAGACACCGCATTAATAACCAAGGACCAATCGGTATTTTAAGCGTCAGAAAGAAATGCTTCCCTATCCATTCCACCAAAATTACTCTGAAGAATGACTTTGGGTTTCAATTTGGGAGGACGAATTTTATATGACAAGGAAATCAAGTCATGGTAAGAAAAAGCATCGGCAGAATATTGGCCATGCTTCAGGACAAGATGAGGAGAAGAGACAATTATTAAGTCAAGAAGTGAAGGAGTATTGTTTGGGGAATGATGGGTGGCACTAAGGAGAAGTATATGAAGATTACAAAAATTTATAACACAGTGAAGGGAAGCTGTAGTGTAGTGTAGTGTAGTGGAATCACAAATTTTTACATTTAGCTAAAGTATGCAGATGCCACTTTTATTCGCTCATCTCATGGTTATAGACAGGGATTCTGATAAAAAAAAACGTCAACAAGTGTTTTGCCTGGCCTCTCGTGATGTTATCCTGACACCGCCTAAAGAATTCTGAAGAAACAGAAACAGGTCGAAAGCTGAAGGTGCGAGGTAAGGACTATGCGTCGAACCCACTAACACCTCCCAGTCAAACACTCAACAATGAAAAAGGTATATTTTCGAAATCTTTGGAATGCAACTACAGCCCTTGACTGTAAACAAAACTATTAAGTTTGACAATCAGACTTATTAAAAATTTGTTATTTTAGTAACTGGACATTTTAAAGCTACTACATCTTTCGGCATTTGTGGTTTTGATATTGGACATTATGACAATCCGACTTTGTACAAAATTTGGTTTTTTGGTAACTTGACATTATGGCAAATAGACATAAATATTATATGCATAAATGCTATAATGCGCAAAAAACTGTTTCCCTAACCTATTATGTAAACAGACAAAAACATTTGTCTCACATGGGTTCAAACCCTGGACTTAGGAGTAGGTAGGTACCTCAAAACCAGTGTACATACCACTCACACCATGGAGGTAGACAAATGAATACCTGTTTCATTTTGATCTTGCATCTCCTCAACATCCATTTCAGACTTCACTATCTCAATATTGAAAGTAGGCTCCAGTTTAACCTCTTCTGAGTCTAAAGGCATAATACTCTGCATCGGTGACACGGAAAACTTCCAAGAGATATCAGGTTGTTGCTTCAAAATCATATTTAGTGTGTCTATGGTGATCTATAAAAAAACCTCTCACATTGATTTTAAAGATGAATTTTGCAATGATTAATATATTACTGAAAAGTTTGTCTATGTGCGGTGGGGCAAAAGTTTGTTAATGTTAATGAGAATTTGTACCTCAGTCATGGATGTTTATTATATGTATTCTATCAGACACCCTATTATCCTATAACAGAAGATTTAAGACAGAAACATATTAACATGTTGTGTTGTGTCATGTCAACGCTCTAGCCTCTCTCTAACCCATAATAAATGTATAAAATTGAAGTGTCACGACATGCCATGCCACGTTTATATGTTTTGGATTTACAGTGCTTACTTTGGGGCTAGGCTTATTGGTGTATTTTTAACACACATTTACTTATTATGTTTTTTTTTAAAGTTCTTACCTCGGACTCGGAACTGATGAGTTGCAACAAGAGCTTGTTTGCCTTTAGTGATTTATCTATAAACTTGTGCAATTTTCTAATCATATGATAGCAAATGTAGCATAAGCACGTTGGCCATTTGTCGCCCATTACAAGCTAAAACCACATACAATAATGATACAGTATAATAGTAGACAATATTTTTACTACCTATGTTTAAAAGGAATAAAGTAATTGTTTAATATAAATCATAAAGTTCTTGAAATCAATGTAAAGAATTCATAACTGTTTTTAAATGCCCATTTAGTTTCTCCTTTACACAGATAATTGATTCTTAAATAATGAAAATTATAAACAGTCCGAGGCTGCTAAGGATACTGCTGGAAAGAATGGAGCATTGCAAGGAAGATAGAGCGAGAGAGAGAAATGGGGAGTGAGATTTAAAGGATTAAAGGAGCCGCAAAGGATAATTAACTAAAACGAATTATTGAGACTACAACTGTGGCAATCAGAGATGAGAGATCTTACCGGAATTTCAGTGATATTTTTGTAAATCTTTTGAAGGGGTCCATTCAATATTGAATACATACGGTTATGGTGTGCCAAGCATACTCTGCATACTTGTAAACGAGACATTATCAAATGTTTTCACTCAAATTTGGGATAAAATTCGGTCAGACAGAGTATCGTATCGTCCACACAGCACAGCCATAGAGAAAAGTAATATAAACACAGCTCAATTTTTGTTTTTGGTTATGTTCCCCTTTTCAGGGAAGGCAAGGGGAACAATGCCCATACAGCCTAATCTTAAGTTAAATTATTCTGATTTTCTTTTTACATTAGAAGGACTCACTGTAGACTGGTATATTTGGTATTCTATGTTTCATTAAGGAATCGACAATTTCATTGCCTGTTATTCCAGTATGCGAGGGACCCATATTAGTTCAATAGTTATTCCATTTCCTAACAGAATCAGGTATTTGACAAGTTTTAGAAAATGATCTCACGTCATTTATAATGTTTATAGAGCCCGTAAAAAGTGGTGTGGTATTTTTAATTATGTTGTGTAATTCAGTAAAAAAAACTTAAATCAAAAATTCAATTTTCAAGTTTCCGCGTAAACGTTCTTCAGGACATTATGTCGTCTCACTAGTGTGTGACGTCACACAGCTGTCATTAAAAAGTCAAACGATACAATGTAATGGTTCCGACCTATAGGAGGGGTTGTCCTTGTCTCACATCTTATAGGATTTTGCCTGAGTTGATAGTTTTCGATAATAGTATGTTTTATGTTTTGATTGATTTATTGACGTGACAACGTCTTAAATTAGGTTGCGGCTGGGAGTCACTTATGAAAAAGTGTAACGCTCGGTAACGTTACGATGAGTCTCTCGTGTTAAGTTTAAGTTTACATGTACAATGTTTTAGTAAACAAAATATATTTCTATAGTTAAAATTTGTGCAATTCTTATTTTCATTCAATTCCTTGTTCCTATTGTGCAATTTAATTATATTCATATCAATAAATATTCTACCGAGAAAAAGACGTTGTCACGTAAAATCTTCGCCCGTAAAACCGACTTTACAGGCAACCATTTTTTTTTTTATGTCTTATTAGAAAGTAGGTAGTTATAGGAATAATATATCAAAGTTTTGTATGAATCGTGTTAGTAGTTTAGGCGTAATTAAGGAAAATATTGGAAATAGTTTTTTACGAATAGTCGATAGGATATAGGTATAATTGTTATAATAATGATGTTATTTTGTGTGTTTTTACTTCTTCTATAAAATGGTATATGATAGTTAGGCATTAAGTGAATATAAGTAGGTTTTTTGAGACTTTTTAATTTGTAAACTTTATAGGGCCGCAGAGCTGTTGTTTGTTGATATTCTTGTAAGAAACTTGTTGTATTAGGTAGATAACGCGTAGGGCTACATAAATAAATAGGTATCACATCAATAAATGTAAAAATGTACCGTGTAGGAGACAAAACCTGTTTGTATAGAACCGTTTTCTGAGACATGTTGCGCTCCCCACCCGGCGCGCCCGGAGCGCGCGGGTGGGGCAGCGAAGCCCCGTGGCAGGGCGAAGCCCTATGGAGGGGGAAAGTATAAATATTGCGGAGACCTATTTTTTGCGCGCCACACCTAAAATATCATGCTTACGGACACATAACTGTGTTAAAAATATGCCTATATGTATGCCCGATGTATGTACAATTAGTTTTAAGCTCGCACTAATGTAATTTTTGAAAAAATGGAAAATAAAGTATAGCGTGGGTGAGGTAATGGATCGCTGGCCAGCTCAGTCCTAGCATATAAAATTCGAGTCGGAACATGCTCCGACATGCATTCAGCGACAGGCGCTCCTACCATAAGGAACAGGAAGAAACAATCAAGCGGTTCACTCTGGACCTGAAGCCTCCTCTCACCGGCCATCCATTATCAGCGCCCACCGATTTCTTCAATACCGAACACCAGGGGTTTTATTCGCCGAAACTACAGTCCACTACAGTCAAGACTCCTGCGTGTAACTTCCTCCACCCCTCAGTACGAGTCGGTAACTGTCCGCTACTGCGACAGCCCGGCGTCCCGTACAAAATTTATGAAATGCAACTTGTTTAATGTAACAAGAGAGATAGAATACGTACTACATTTATGTTAATTAACAATTATTGTGATTTGCTAATTAAATTCTTTTAATAGGATTTTGTTTTATTTTACCTTTAAAATCTAATACGCTAGTACAATCCTCCATATTCAAACTATTCAATATTTATGGAACTTAATACCCCCGAAAATTATTATGTAAGGAGAACTCCTTACATAATAATTTTGTGCACCCGGTTCGGCAAACTGTTTACGAACTACAATTCTTGGGCTATGTACGGTTTAATGACCGTACATTCCGCGCGGTCAGCGGTTTACGCCCTCGGCGACAATCTCTTATCTATTAGACAAGTCCGTCCGTCCGTCCGTCCGTCCGTCCGTGGTGCTGTTTCAGTGGCCAAACCGTAAGAGATAGATAAAGAGAATGTTTAAGTTATAAGTTAAGAATAGTCTGATAAGACTACAAACCGGATTTGAGTAACGTAGCACTTCCGGTTTTCGAGAAATCACGTGATTTCTATTTCAAACGAAACCACACAAAATCTCCGAAGCTCTCAATTAATTAAATACTTTTTTTTTTGTTTTTTTGGTGAACATTTGGTTCACTGGTTTGCTAGTTTTATTATAATTGTAAAGTCAGTTCACACTCAGCAATCGACGTGTACTTATTGATCATTATATTTTAGCAATATTTTAACATAAGTTGACGTGTAACTTTACATATCAATAAACGGTTAAATATCACTTTTATCTATCATTTAATGTTCCTGATCCGTACAGGCGCGGTCGAACCTGAAATTTTGGAGGAGGTCACTCACTACACTAATAAAAAGAAGAAAAAAAAGTATCCGGAATAAAATAAACATTATTGCGACGAACGACGCATGTCGATTTTACTACAATTACCAAAACTACGTAGTTCGGTTCCTTGTTTCTAAACTAGTACTAGATGTCATTTCCAAGTTATTTTGGCCATCGTACGTAGTTCATAAAAACACCACTACATGTCAAGCAAACTATAAAGGAGAATGGTCATTTTACTTTGGGAGTTGGGCTAAGTTTTTTTCATTGCGTCTTATTGGAATAAGTGTACAACAATAGGGAATCAGGTGTATATTGCGTAGGAAAAATATCGTTAGAAACTTAAGTAGTGGTTTAAAGAAAATATTAAATTACGTAAGCATTTTAAGGTTATGTCATATTTACATTCGATTAAATTCGATATTTATACCATACTTAATTATTACTAGGTATACTACTTTAAACTGTATTTAATTAGGTTGTGACCTTTTGTCTTCTATTTTGGACTGGGAGTGAAACAAAAATTGAATGCACTTCGTAAAATCTTATCAACGGGCAGCGTATATTTGTAAACTGTTGCGTTGGTGAGCTGCTATCTATCTCTATTTATTCCAAACATCTCAGATTCAATAAATGTGGCGTTGTTGAGGTGCGGTTATACTAGTGCTATTTATACTTATTCTCTTTACGCTCAAGCTGCACCTTTGATGCTCTGTTAACCCAACAATGGATATAATATTATTTAAGGTTTAGGAATCAAAAATAAATAAGACAAAATATTTTAATAATGATAATCATTTATTGATAACACATTTACCCAAATCGACATTATTATTGTGATATTTTTATTTTATATTTTTGGGGTTATGCCGTATCCAGTGGAACTGTAGTGACTTCGCTAAATATCTTTTGTAACTCGCCACCATGTCCTGTTGAGTTTGAAATATCCAGTTAAAGCTCTGCTAAGTTCAATTAACACAGCAGTTTAAACATTAAGCGTGCTCTAATCCTGGTATATATATATAGCCTTTTTTAAAAAAGAATTCTTCTTCTTCAAATACCTCATCTAAAAATGTAGCTGGAGCATGTGTGTATCGCTGTTAGGGGATAGCTAGAAATTTCCTTTTATTATTTGGCAATTTTTTAGATTTTTCAATTTGACCTTAGATTTGGGGGGGGGGGGGTCATGTCCCCTGTGACCCCCCCCCCCCCCCTCGGACCGCGCCTGGATCCGTATAGGTTACTACTCACAATTTTAACGACGGTTGCCTTTTTGAGGCATCATCCTAATTGGCAACGATCGTACGATGACTCGATACGATCTCATCGTGCGATGATAATGTACTTACTGTGCTCGTGAGACGGAAAATTTATACTTTCAAGTTGCACATGTGATGTTTTGCAGGGCCGAATGTAGAGTTGTGTGAAATCCAGATTTCAAAAAAGGGGTATTTAGAAATCTGGAGAACCGGGCCACTTAGGATTTGCTTCATTTTACCAACTTAAAAGGTATAATTAATGAGGGATACTCTCAAGCTTGTGTTTAAAAGAACGAATTAATAAAGAAAAAAATATGTGGTTTTGAAATCGTTAAAATTAATAAAAAACATTCCGGTTGATTTAGAGCTTATGATGGTCCTACGAGTTATTTTCCCTGGTGGGTATATTGTGTCCCATCTTATATACTATGTGTAGCCAACATGTCTTAGAAGTTCATCAGTTTTTGTAAACAAATCTTTGTTCAGTTGCTCGTGAAATTAAGTGTATGTTCATCTTTCCAGTCAGGATAATATTCTGTGTGTTTATAATGTTTCCAAATGCGTGTTGAGTGATGTTATAAAGCTATCGGCATTATATTATATATTTGATGCAGATCGGTAAATTCCCATAATTATACTGTCATTAGTGTGTATTTCTAGACACGAGACTTCGTAAATAATTATTACATGACAGACAAATTGTTTTCAACGTAAAGAACAACACCATCAGCATAACATTGATTACAATAACGCGTTGAAAATAATGACATATAATTTATAAGCAAGGGAATAGGTTTATCTTTATTAAGCCAACATTCTGTTAGCACAATTATATCTGCCTATCTGTCACGTTTGAGTTGCGAGAGAGTTACAAGTAAATCATTAAAGTTGCATTGTATACTACGAATATTTTATTCTTCCGGATCATTTTCTTTAATTTTTTATTTAATCTATACACTGAATTCTTTTTCGTGTGAATAAATGATTACTATCAGTAAATCTTTTTCGCAGATGGTACATTAATAACGTTTCTCTCCCGTGTTATTTCTTTGATGTCTTGAAAAAAAAAATCCTTTATCTCTGACGGTACATTTATAAGGTTTCTCTCCCGTGTGAATTCTTTGATGTGTGTACAAATGACTATTCCTTGTAAATTTTTAATCGCAGATATTACATTTATCTCCAGTATGAATTACATCTTTTATGTGTGGTTAAATTTCTATGATCAGTAAATCGCTTATCGCAGACGTTACATTTCTAAGGTTTGTCTCCCGTGTGAATTCTTTGATGTGTGGATAAACGACCACTTTCAGTAAATCCTTTATCGCAGACGTTACATTTATAAGGTTTCTCTCCGGTGTGAATTGTTAGATGTCTGGATAAATGACTCATTTGATTAAATCTTTTATCGCAGACGTTACATTTCTAAGGTTTCTCTCCCGTGTGAATTCTTTGATGTGTGGATAAACGACCAATAAACGACCACTTTCAGTAAATCCTTTATCGCAGACGTTACATTTATAAGGTTTCTCTCCCGTGTGAATTGTTAGATGTCTGGATAAATGACTCATTTGATTAAATCTTTTATCGCAGACGTTACATTTATAAGGTTTCTCTCCCGTGTGAATTCTTTGATGTGTGGATAAACGACTACTTTCAGTAAATCCTTTATCGCAGACGTTACATTTATAAGGTTTCTCTCCCGTGTGAATTACATCTTTTGTGTGTGGTTAAATTTCTATTATCAGTAAATCGCTTATCGCAGACGTTACATTTCTAAGGTTTCTCTCCCGTGTGAATTCTTTGATGTGTGGATAAACGACTACTTTCAGTAAATCCTTTATCGCAGACGTTACATTTATAAGGTTTCTCTCCCGTGTGAATTACATCTTTTGTGTGTGGTTAAATTTCTATTATCAGTAAATCGCTTATCGCAGACGTTACATTTCTAAGGTTTCTCTCCCGTGTGAATTCTTTGATGTGTGGATAAACGACCACTTCCAGTAAATCCTTTATCGCAGACATTACATTTAAAAGGTTTATCTCCCGTGTGAATTGTTAGATGTCTGGATAAATGACTCATTTGATTAAATCTTTTATCGCAGACGTTACATTTATAAGGTTTCTCTCCCGTGTGAATTCTTAGATGTTTGGATAAATTGCCAATAATATTAAATCTTTTATCGCAGAAATTACATATAAAAGGTTTCTCTCCCGTGTGAATTCTTTGATGTGTGGATAAACGACCACTTTCAGAAAATCCTTTATCGCAGACGTTACATTTATAAGGTTTCTCTCCCGTGTGAATTCTTAGATGTTTGGATAAATGACCCATTTGATTAAATCTTTTATCGCAGACGTTACATTTATAAGGTTTCTCTCCCGTGTGAATTCTTTTATGTGTGGATAAATGAACCATTTGATTAAATCTTTTATCACAGAAGTCACATTTATAAGGTGTTTCTCTCGTGTGAATTCGTTGATGTTTAGATAAACTACTAATTTGAGTAAATCTTTTATCACAGACGTTACACGTATAAGGTTTTTC